ACGACTGGAAAATTGTATTCCTCGTGCACAGTGAATATTGCTCCTTTCAGTATCACAAGGGTATCAGAGCGGATCATTTGCTGTAGATAGTGAAAGTTATCAGGATAGATATAGCAGGTGTCGTTACAAAGAGGAGGAGGTGTGGGTTGATCGCTGCTGCTCTGTGATTGGTTAAAAGACTGGGAACCATGGCAACAGCTGCCGAGCTGCAGTAGCAGGAGCGTGGCAGTAGCAACTGCCCCAATTGCTTCCATGACTGATCTACAAAAAATATGTGGAAGTCTCTTCATAGCTATCTAGATATGATGCTTGGCACCTACGTTATCACTCCTTTTTAAATGAAAAGCACTGAAGTGCAAACCCTCGGCGAACGGCGCATGCGCGGTATATTAGTATGCGCGGTCTCCCGCTACTATATAGCTCGCAGAGAGTCTGATACCGGCTAGCTACAGTAGTACATTAGCATGCGAGAGTCGATACATGCCCTTCGTTGTGACTTCTTGTGCCTTCAAAATACACAGAGCAAGCAGACCCGGTCCTGTGCTAAATATAAGCTCATGCGCATTTTCCGCAGCGATAAAAATGGCCGACTACACATTAGCCGTACAATGGTGGAAGCGCTCTAGCTTTGCAACGGAGCGTTTTCAGAGAAAACCGTTCGAAATTTCTGACCTTCATTGCCCGTTCGGTAGGTGGTATCCTTAGTGAGACGAAAGAACACTCGAGAAGTGAGATGAAGAGTAACAGACAGACTGACAGACACACAGACAGACAGACAAACCCAACTACTGTAACCCTCGCTGCGCAGGGTTAACTACACTTTGACTTACTCCAAAGAGAGGACAAAAAAGACAAATTGCAGGTCCCAAACATGTACAGCGTCACACTGCGCCGAGGGTCTGCCCTCGGCGCGCATGCGCAGCGAGGGTACTGCAGTTGTGTGTGTGTCTGTCTGTTACTCTCAGTCTCACTTCTCAGGAGTTTGTTCGTCTCACAAAGGACACGATCTACTTAACGGGCAATGAAGGTAAAAATTTTCGAACGGTTTTCTCTGAAAATGCTCCGTTGCAAAGCTAGAGCGCATCCAGCATTGTACGGCTAATGCCGGTAGACGCCATTTTATCGCTGGGATAATGCGCATGCGCTTATATTCAGCACATGTTTACCTCCACCTGCTCTGTGTATCTTGAAGGCACAAGAAGTCACAATGAATGGCGTGTATCGACTCTCTCCATTGCTGTTGCTAGCCCGTGTCAGACTCTACTAGCGGGAGACCGCGAGTAAACGCACACTAATTATTATTATTATCATTGTTGCACACCAAATAAAGGTGCAAATGAATGTTAGAAGTGTAATGTTCAAAAGGCGAATGAGTACCAAAGCACTGAAGTGCAAACCCTCGGCGCACTGTGACGCGCGCGCGTCCACTAATTGATGGGCTGGGTTTAGTTTTAGCTATTACTCGTGGTCTCTTGCCAGCTCGCGCAGAGTCTGACGCAGGCTACTAGATAGCATACGAGAGGCGATACACGCCCTGCGTTGCATCTTCTGGTGCCTCCGAGGTACGCAGAGCACGCGGATCGATCATGCAGTAGTAAGCCGTTGTGTATTTGCATATTGGCTTTTTCCCGCTCTAGCTTAGCAACGGAGCGTTTTCAGAGAAAACCGCCTTTATTTTATGACCTTCGTCGCCAGTTGGGTAGATGGTATCGTTTCTGGGACGAACAGACGTTCGAGAAGTGAGATGTAGAGTAACAGACAGACACACACACACAGACCCAATGAAAAGCACTAAAGTGCAAACCCTCGGCGAAGTAGCTCGCAGAGAGTCTGACACGGGGTAGCTACAGTAGTAGATAGCACGCGAGAGTCTGATACACGCCATTCGTTATGACTTCTTTTGCCTTCAAGATAGACAGAGCAAGCGGACCCGGCCGAGGTAAGCCTGTGCTAAATATAACCGCATGCGCATTATCCGCCAGCGATAAAATGGCTATTAGCCATACAATGCTGGAAGCGCTCTAGCTCTGCAACGGAACATTTTCAGAGAAACCCACATATTTTCTGACCTTCGTCGCCCGTTGGGTAGATGGCATCGTTTCTGGGACGAACAGACGTTCGAGAGGTGAGATGTAGAGTAACAGACACACGGACAGACAGATCCAACTACAGTACCCTCGCTGCGCATGCGCGCCGAGGGTTTAATGATGATAGAATCTTATTGTATCCATTTGTGCATCATAATCAGTGAAAAATTTGGTATGAGAGTTACCATACAAGCAATTATAGCCAATAGAAGAGTAGGCAAGGTTGAGTGAGTCAGAGATAATAAAGTTAACAAAAAACACTCACTGTCGAGACAACGAGAGATGAACTTCGAGTAGCGATACATGATAATATTGTGTACATAAGAAACCCTTGCTGTATTGAGGACAATTGATGTATGAGAGTTTCTGGGAGATGGCAAATTCTTCTCAGTATTAAGTTTATTGCAACCTGAAGGCATCTTAGGGAGGTGGAGGACAGGGACCAAAGAGTGCAACCATATTATAGAGAGAGACAGTACATTTTGTAGAGAAAAGTCAACACGAATGGATCTGCATAACGAAAGGTGTACAGAACAAAGTTGGCCTTGCGGTTAACGTCTTTTGTGGCTCTGATGATGTCATCTTTATCACTGAGATCAAACGAAAGAAAATGGCCAAGGTGCAGGACTTTATTAGAAAATTTAAGGAAAACTCCATTAAATTAAATGTGGTCAACCAAGGACTGCCGGACATTCTTTCTGAAGCATATCAGTTGAGTCTTTTCAGAATTAAATATCAAACCATGTGATGATGCATAGGAACTGCAAATTGATAGCATTTTGTGGAGAGCAGAGGCACAAGGAGCCAAAAGAATAATATCATCTGCGAAACAAAAAACACCAGCATGCATCCATCGCCAACAACAACCAACACCAGAGAGAGACAACTCATTCAACAAACTATCCAAATATACAGCAAAGAGGAAAGGAGAAAGAACACCACCTTGACAGACCCCATTAGACACTTTGAAGCTTCCAGAGAGACAGTCATGATTCCACTGGACACTCATCCTCTGCATACTGTACCACTGGATAAGAAAATTCAGAATTGCTGGTGGAAAACCTCTCTTCTCTAGTTTCTGAAAAAGAAGTCCGTGATCTACTCTAGCAAATGCTTTGCTCGCATCCAAGAAGCAGCCTAAGACATTGGAACCATTATTTATATAACGAGAAACAACAGATTTCATGAGGGCTGAGCACAGGGTGGTAGACGAGCAAGCCTTGAATCCAAACTGCAAGTGACTACTATGAAGAAGATTTCCATAGTTGAGAAGAATGACATGTGGGGATGAATCTCATTAGTTCAGAACCACAAGCGCTGCGCCTGAGCAAAGCCTTGTGGGGATGAATCTCATTAGTTCAAAACCACAAGTGCTGCGCTCAACTTAGCCTTTATAAACTCGTGGTGCCAGAGAGAGAGGTTGTGGTATGCTCTGCTGATGAGGCCCGAAACAGCTGTCCAGAGCTCCACACCTTTTTTCTCTTGGCATCACATGGTGTATTTGTTCATGTTCAATCAGTTTGCTTAAGGTAGAAGCAAGTGTAATCGGGCGATAATTGGTACTGCTTGTTGGACCCTTCCCGCTTTTAGGGACAGGAATGATAACACAATCCCGGATGCACGGTGGCAGGTAGCCATGCCTAAAACAAGCTGTGAAAAAAATAGCGAGGTCACCTGCGATGACAGACAGGGCCAGCATACCTTTAATGTTCAGAGAAAAGACCAAGGTTATCTGATTTACTATTCTTTAGGTTAGAAATAGCTTGAAGTACGACCATCAACAACAGCTGCTCGTGATGTAGTTGGGTGACTCAATTGCCTAACAGCTGACTAAAAACCGTTTTTTTTCCCTGTCTGCATAGCTTTTGGCAAGTTTTTCTCGAACAAGCCGATGTTGTTTTCGCTTGAGACGACGAACAGATGATTTATATTTTTCTCTTGGTGCTCTTCTTGATATCATAAAGAACACCCGTGATGGAGCCACCAGCTTCTCTCCATACCCTGTACCAGAAATCCACATCTTTCTTCAGATCTTGACAGAAATCTCTCCAGCCAACTAGAGGGCGAGAAGAGGGTGACCGTCTGGGAAAGCAAAGTTTGGAACAGGCAAGTAGAGTAGAAACAAGTTGATGAGCATAATCATCCATTGTATGATGACTGAGAGTAAGATCAAAGGAATTCCAGCTAGTCCAAACAACGTAGATGCGTAGTGAGCGCTTCCTGCTCAGTCTACGGGTAGTTAGAACATAAAGAGGCCATGAAATGAACAACATCTGAGAAAAGCCATAAAACTAAGTTTAATTCTACGGTAGCAGTAGATGAAGAAGTGAAGGAAGAGTCGGATGGGGGGGGGTTGGTGTCGAGTAGACAATACATTTGCAGGTGTATCAGCATCCAGTGTACCAGAGGCACTCTGCTCAGTTATAGTATCAGAAGGTATCAAATCACGGGTGGTTTGCCTAGATTTCTGCCGAAGCTTGTGGTCGGTCGGGGGGGAGGGGGACATCTTCACGTAGAAATAAGCGCCTAATCTTAAAGTCTCGGAGATTTTTCTTTCGTGATAGAAGCAACTTCCAGTCCCAAAGAGAAGACAATTTTATATGTAGAGGCCGAGATGTATTGGATTGCACCTGTTTGCCAACTTGATCAAGACAGAGGGGAGGCAACCTAATAAGGTCAGAAGCTTCACAAAAAATTGGCGGAACGGAGTCAGTACTGTCCAACACTTCAAAGGCTTTTGAAAGATGTTCAACATTAGCCACAAGTTAGCTTCGCTTCTCAGAGTCCCGGTGAATTTGGAGAGGAAAAGAGGCAGCTTCCAGAACACTGCCACAGAAATCCCATAGCGCCTTCTTGGCACTTTCAACAAGCTGACTGCTAAAATTTTCACAAACAGACCTCCTGATTGTATCAACATCCCTTTTTAGACGGAAGGCCTTAAGAAAGGCGAGTACAGGATGAATCAGAATGACACAATTAGATGTAGAGGGTGGGGGAAACAGTAGAGGACGGACCTCCACCTTGGGAAGAAGCAGTACCAAGAGGTTGTGATTCAAGCTGTCCTTCAGACAAGGCTTGTCTACCACTAGACAAGGTGATACCAGGCAACGAACCATCAGGGCTGGGTAGCAGTGATTGGCGCCGCTTTCTTGCCTTCTTCCCAGGAAGGGCCTCTACCTCAGAAGGCGAATATCACTTATTATTTATCAGCACACATTATTTTGGCCCTTCTTTGAGTGAGCAAGTTTAGCACAATACAACTGACCAGTCACATTCCCACAAGTTATTACACCAAGGGAATCTTTCTCAATAGTAGGCAAAAGCAACTGTGGAGATGTGGTACCACCTTTACCAGCAACAGCCATAATACCATGCACATATCAAACAACGCCAAAATAAAAAGTCCAACACTAACAGAACCAAATGAAATGCGCAACAACAAAAGTATAGTGAACACACCTCAAACCCAGAATGTAGCACCGCAACAGTCCGATCAGAGATGACCGTGATATCACGCAGAAACACTAGAAGCCTTATGTACCAGCTAGCGACCGGATGTGTGTGGGTGTTGGTCACATGCAGGAAGAAGATACAGGAAGCAAGTATGTAGCTATATATATATATACGATTTAATATAGGGAACCCTTACCTTTGGCGGAAACGGCGTTCCATATTATAATTTCGTGATCCCGGATTCCGGTTTGCGCAGCGCGCGTGATCTTTGCTCAGGCTAATACATCCCAAAGGGCGCACGCAAGAAAGCGGAAGAGCCGGTGCCAGAGCAGTTGTATTTATAATTGAAGAGATACCTGTTCTCTGCGCCACAATAGCTACTCATGCATGATGGCTTCCAACGAAATTACATCGTGCTGTGACGAAAAGGATTGTTTGGCACTCGCTGGCTGGGGTCTTGGACGAGGCGTCAACATCACTAAAGCAACGCCGTGGGCTGATAAGACGACATTTCAAGTTCGGGAGGTGAAGCCTGAGCATATCATAGTAACCAACGATGGAGAGCTACTGAAAGCTTACAGCGAAGAAGTGCGCAGTCGAACGGCGGTCAGCAGTGAGGTGCAAGCTGGAATACGAGCTGCTAGTACGCCTCTATCGGTCCGTATTGACCTTGAGTACACCCGATCGGCGCTTGCAACCAAGTACATACGCGGAATGAAAATAAAGAAGCGAACCATCTCCTTCCTCACCGAATTTGTTGACGTACCTCAATTGCTGCTCAAGAAAGCGGGGGAAGGGAAATTGGAAGCGGAACCGAAGACGCCGGCGGCTGAAAACGGGCAAAGTTTGCAATCTGAAAGTTCGGTAGAGCACGCAGAGGTACGGCAAGAACGACTGCACGTAGAACCGACCGGAACAACCTTCAATAATGATACGCTGGTGTTTGAAGCAGAAAGGGCAACAATTCAATCAGAAGGGCACCAGATGTGCAAAATGCCTATGTCACACTGTGCCCCCTTCATCGAAGAAGTGCTCGCTATTACAGAGGGTACATCATTCGAAGAGCGCTTGATTTCATGGGTAAAGCTTTGCCTCAAAAGTAACGGTTATGACTGCGACTCACCAACAGAGGACCAGAAGCAGAAAATGTCGGAAGAGATTGAAAACCTTCTTGATCGCTTTGTCCAAGAGTTCGGAGTCACACACTATGTGAGTTCCATTGAACTGGGTGCTCTTGAGTACCAAGAACAGACATCAAGTGAGTTTCTCCAGAGTGCAAAATTTAAATCAAGCGCTTCAGTGACAGCTGCCACATATGGAGGAGCAGAGGCTTCAATCACGCAAAAGATTACAAAGGCTACAAAACAAAAGAGGTCAGAGTGGAAAAGGATTGGCGTAATGGAGAATGACGTAGTGACAAAGGAAGCGGTCATAGGTTGCTCACTCACGCCAATCAGTCGCCTCATAAAAAAGCCACACTTGCAGCAAGCTCTCAAGAACAGCATCGACAAGTATAATGTCCAGGAAACTTCGAGAGGTATTCCACATAGCTAAAATAATAGTTGTTGGTTGTAAGCAATAACCTCAAGGTGCTGTTTGTTCTGTCGTTCAGCCCATAAGTACGAAATCACAAGGCATCAATAATTTGCCTCTTGCTGGCCAACGGCCAATGGGTGCACTGTAATACTACTGTAACCATAATTATAGTGTATTTCTGCAGGGAATTAGACTAGCTATTTGCTAAACGTTGAACTGATTGATGTTTATCGGCTTCTCGGAAGTAGGAACAAGTGCCTGCCTTATAACCAAGCTCTATACTTTTCCACTGAATGAATGACACTTAACCATGCACAGGGCTACTGTATCATTCTGCTATGGCTGATACAATGTCGTCACATGTACCCAATGTATTATGAAAAAGACACTTGAGCAACCCTGTGGCTTCTCGAGCTCTTTACACCATATTGACACAATGTTCTCACATTACCCTGAGCCTAAAATGAATGGCTTTTGTTTACGCACTGTCGACTAGGCTTACACATGACTGTTGGCACATTATGCCCAGCAAGCTAAAATAATAGCAAGCACAGGGATTAGCTAACCCTGTGCTTTTCGCTAACAATCCCCTACTGCTGACACATTGTCATCACATGCAGTAGCATAGAGCTACATGGAGTTCTTTTCTCCACTGCAGGTGGTGGTCCCTATTACATTATGTTTGGTGATGGCCTCGGTGACCAAAAATATATCGCTGTTGACCACACCCAATCCTCAAGACCTCTCAAGGGAACAGAGGATGTGAATGAAGCTGAAGGTTTCATGGTGGAGGTGCTGGATGACTCAAACCCCGGCACCCACTTGGAGTTCTCTCTCACCAGTTCTTTCCCCATGTACAGAAAAAAGTTGGAGGAAGAAGAAACAAATTCAGACGGCAAAACAAGCACGAAATCCTCTGCTGGAGGTGTTCGCAGCAAGACACACCCACTTGACTACTACCTCGAAACACACGTCAACAGCTTTGGAAGAGGCAGTGTTCTGCGCATGCAAATGAATTCAAAGTTGAAAAACATTCGTCTCCAGTTGAAGCAGAGGAAAAATCCCAGGATTACGTGTGATACGAAGCAGTGGCGGAAGGGAAGAGAGGCCTACTACATCCAGTGTGTCCATTGGCCTTGCAATGGCTACCTCTGCGTCAAAGAGATAGGAGGTACCGACAGACAGAAAGAGTACCGAGTGTGCATTAGGCCATCTGTTGAAAGTGACAAAGGTGATGGAAGAAGAGTATTCATGCTCTTCCAACTGAAATCTATCTAGTGTTAAAATTATACCACAATTTTAAAGTGTATTACTACCCTTATCCTGTCCAACTTACGATTCGTTACTTTTGGCATTGTATTATATATATCTACAAAAGGGTCGGTCCTTTAAGAGAGAGAGACAATACAATTCAGTTGTTCTACCTACCTTCTGTACCTTCACACACAATGCCAAATTCCCAAGTTACTATAATATGCGTATTTGAGGCTTACTAAGAGTTGTATTTCCTTCATTTTTGTGGGCATAACACCCCTACTTGCAGATACAAGCCTTTCCCAGCTGCGTAACTGCATTGTTATGTCAGCAAATCAAAGTTTTCTCCACCAAATTCTGTGGACAATGCCTTTTGGTGCTTGGGTAGCTAGCTAGTCCACTTGGGGTTTCAGAATCATAATGATGAAGAACACAAGAAAGTTTCAGATGAAAAGGAAGTGATGGGTATTAGCAAAGTTGAAAAGGTAGCTATAGTCTTGATTTGCTGCCATGTAATGCAAAAATGAGTAAGCCTCAAATACGTATTAGAGAGTCGGTAGACTCTCTATATAGGGATGACACGGGTGAAATCTCACGTGATCCGCGTACAAAACGACTAAAAACTCGGTGAGAATCACTTCCTAGGCCTTCAAAACATACTAGCAATAGTCTACGGGCCCATATCTACCTATACCTGTCCCCCAAGAGCTCATACGCACCTTCAGTCGTCCACGGGAGAATTTGCTGCATGGTTACGGTCGTAGCGCCAATTGGCTTAGCTATCTGGAATAGGTCTAGCTACCATATCCTGTCAGTTACATGAAATTAACATTGTGACATAGATTTTGATGGGGTACAAGATGGAGGTGGAGGTGGAGGTTGACGGTGTACCTCTGAGGATTGGTGGGATTGCCAAGGGTTCTGGTATGATCCCTCCAGGGCACACAAGGATTGTATAACTTCACACCCAAATATACCTTTTAGTGGCTGATAACCACTGTGTTATATATTCAATGTGCAGGTACGTATTAGTTAACGTATAGGTGGTGAGGTGGTACAGGATATACTCCGAGGCAGTTGACTATACTGGACGAGGGCGTAGCCCGAGGCCGGTATAGTTAACAGGCGAGGAGGATTTTCTGTACGTGCCAAGACGCCTGACATAAACTGATTTGTAGTCCAACTAGCCAATCACAATGCTGAATTTCTGCTGTGTCATCCTGCACTAATGTACAATTTGCACTACACCTAGTGCTAGATGTTGGGATAAGGACATCCTGTCCAATACTATACCAGAGCAGCCATCAGCCCACAGCTCACAATACAGCGTATATTCCTACACCGGGTTGTTTGAAGTTGGACTACATATGTGGTTATTGTAAAGCAAAAATTTTCAGGGAAGCTAGCTATGAATATTAGAGGCAGCTGCAGTGTTGCCACAAGTTATACAGCTGGGGAAAAGCCCTGTACCAGTAGACAAGGGTGTTATGCCCATAAATATGAAGGAAATACAACTATTAGTAAGTCTCAAAAACGTACTTAGTAATCTGGGAATTTTAGTATCAAAGCCCACAATGTGACTGAACATCCTGTTCTCCTATTCTCGCGACCGATTTTGTATGCTATATTACATTTTTTCTTCACCACTAATTTCTTTTGTTCATACTTCCCACTGACCATTAATCTCATTTATTAGTATGAGAAAATCTCCAAACAAAAAGTATAATAGGTCTTTTTTTCTGCACTTCCCAGCAATATTGTTGCTGCAGCGTATGATCGGAATTTGGAGGTGTGTGGAACACGTATTCGAGCGTCAGTATAGGGATGGCACGGGTCAAATCTCACGTAATCATCATCCGCATACAAAACGCCTCAAATCTTGGCGAGAATGACTCCCTAGGCCTTCAAAACACACTAGCAATGGTCTACGGGTCAATATCTAGCTATAGATGTACCCAAAGACCTCATATGTACCTTTAGTCCTTCACGCGAGAAGTCACTCATACGCGATTTCACGATTTTCGCGTAATTATATTCTTGACCTTCTTCTTCTTCTTTATTTGCTGCCTTATTGAATTACAGCAGGGAAGCCACGATGCATGAAATTGGACAAACGAAAACGTGATGACAAACATGAAAAGGGAAAGCACAAATGTACTTCCGCACAGTGATGAAACACTTTTTTTCCATAACGGATGTTGCTAAAATTCCGACATATTTCAGACATACTAAGAGGTGTATTTCCTTTATTTTTTATGGGCATCACACCCCATTCCACGCCCCATTCGTGGTTCTTCAAAATTTGCATTTTTGTTTGAAGGTTGTGCCACATGTTTTGTGTCCTGAGTCGGTTGTGTAGCATGCAAATGACCAAAAGACAGAAAGCTCAGGAAAAATTCTAAATTTGAGGATGTCACCAATTTTAGATTATGCGGGTATGAGTTAGCTATAGCTAGTTGGAGTGGAACAGACAACTCAGGCTAATAAATTAGGAATTATAATAGACACTGCTACTACTTGTCTCACAATCATAGGGATACCGTTGCAAACCTACATGTCTAACAAGACTGAGTGGAAGCTTTCTCTTCATGCTTGCTGACCAACTTTTCCTTGATTTCACTTTTCTCTTTCAGTATGACCTTTAACCCACCAGAGTGCACCATAGGCTATGTGGCTCATCTTCATCATTGGACAACTTCCTGACTCGTCCTTTCCATAAAAAACAAAATGTCTGCACTCTTGCAACATGAAGCCTATGTTTCAGATTATGGGAACTTTGGAACGTCAGACTAAATTGACTGACTAACAGCCATGTAGCTAGCTACTATAGCTCCTCCCTGCGCATGCATACTGAGGGATAAATGCAAGCTAAAAGGTTTGAACATTATAATAACACAGCATTTACTAAACTACAATACTAAGTTTCAGCTGATACAAAACAAAATATTCTATCATTAGTCAATGAACATCGTTACAAGACAATTAATATTTTCCCTGCAATATGAATGGGGAGGGATAGTTTGATTTAGCCCTCGCATTCTTAGAATATTTCCTAAGACCAGGTAACTTTTGGAAAAGCTTCATCCTTAGAAGAAGTAGGATGGGAGGAAAAAACATGAATGTTAGGCAGAGAAAAACAACAGTAAGGTATGTCAAAGAAAGTACAGCATATTCTGAATTTACACTAGAAACATGTGCAACATTCAAAGACATGTATAACGGAAATCCAAGGAAAAGTGTGATTGTTAGAAAATATACCAGTAATATGACAGACTTAGTTTTAAATATAATATCTCTATGAATATTTTTAGTGAGTAAAGCAAGCACAAGTGCCGACACCATAATCAAGCCTTGATAGAGGCTCAGTGCTCCAAACCAAGCATAGTAGCTCTCAGAATAACACTGTACCTTCACCTCGATAACATTGTCATGAGTAATTCTCTCCAGGTCTGAGGTGGTAAATTCGAACATCCCTGTCCAAACTGAACACACAATAACATCTACAGCTGCTAGTGCAAGAACCTTTATGCCCAGCACTGTATCCTGTAGGAATATACCTGGTTTTTTTAACTGAACAAAAATATGATAGAGTCTCCAAGTTTTGGCAGTCAAAGTTCCAAGTATAAGTGTAAGACCAAGAGGGAGACACCAGGCTTGAACAGCACAGAGTGAGGCCATACTTACTGACGTAGTAGGTGCCACCTTTTGAACAGTAAAACACAGGTAGGACACTATAAGGATGTAACACCCAACAAAGGCCAGCTGTCCCAGACGATAACTGGATGCTCTAACGGCAGGAAAGCTGCGGTACACAAGAGTCAGGGTGTGTACACAGATAATTAGGGACAGTGCTATAGCAGTAATGAGTACAAAGATACTTGCCAGGGCAGGATGTACAACCAATTTATGTGATTTAAAAAAGCTCTCTACAAATTCACTATCTCCCACAATCAGCAGCTGCTTTTTGTCCTCATCATAGTAACCAATAACAACACTGGCGTTGTTCACCACCTGCTCAAGTGAAACTGTTGCACTGGTGTACCCATTTTCTTATGGAAGGATACATGTCCTGATGCTCCCTCAAAACTTAGTTTCACTACCTCCTTGAGGATGATGTCAGTTGCTTTTTTCTGACCATAGGTGTAGTTACTCAAGTCCACACCTATCTCATTAAGTCTCGGTATTGAACTATTGAGAGCAAGTGCAAGAGACCACACTGCATCATAGACTGGGTTGGCCCATTCTGTGGTTGAGCCATTCACCCTTGCCTGGTACTTTCGAAAATACTCGGCATATGTTCCACCGGAGACCATCTCAGTGACGCCATCCCCAGCAAGTTGTAGATGTGTCAACAGAAATCCCTTCATGACTTGAGTAATGTCTTCAACAGAACACACATAGTGGCGATGGTTCAGTGTAAAACTTGTAGGGTGATTAAAGTAAGAGTATCGAACTCCAGCAAGCACAAATTGGTATGTTGGAAAAGTAAGTTGGTGGTAACGCCTCCTAATGAGACACATCATTTTATGAACCACAGTCCATGTACTTAGCACTACTATAACCCTGAGGTGTTTATCAATAATTGTTGAAAGGGGAAAGCTAACACCTGATACTGGAGCTGAAAAGGCAATTCTGCCTTGTGGAAACACTCGAGGCAGTTCTTGAACAAGCAGGTTATAGGCAGTGAGAAACACAAATTTATTTTCTTCATAGAGAACGGCTACCGATTCCCAATTATTCTCCTTCATTAGATGCAAGGCTAAAAAAACAGTTGAATAAGATGAACCGACTGTGCCAAACGAATATCTATATGTACTGCGATCTGTAAACTTTGGAGAAGTGGCAGTATGAAAGTTGAGAATAGAGACACTTTCCTGGCTTGTGACACGTGATACATAATCTTCCGAGTCTGAACACACAGGGCCTACAATCCCAAGCAAACCTTACACCACTGTGGAAGAATGACGAGACAAAGTTGACTGCTGTATGTCCTAAGAGGTTGCAGGCAGAGTTGCTTAGTGCATTTGCATGGAGCAATAAAATCAATAGGCAAGCAAAAATTGATACGTTAGGATACAAAAATAACTTATGTGAAGTTAAAACAACAAACTCATTATAATAATATATATATATATATATAATATATAATTATATTATAATTATATATAGTATGTGACAACACCTAAAATCCAGCAACTTACATGGCTTACGGGACGACCCTTTTTACAGAATATTAAGCCTCTTATAGTTCAATGGCTGCAGTGAAACTTTTCCAGCAGCTTCTCCTTGTAGGCTCCCTACTGATATTGGTGAGCCACCAACTGAAAAGTGAGGAAGATTATCAACAGCAAGAGATCAATTTTCTGCTCCTGTTGTCTTTTGAAATTGAGGATCCGACTCCAGAACAGCCGTGGTTTATTGATGGGCCGATGAATCTTCCAGCAGCAGAGCTAGCAGTGGAGCAAATAAACCAGAGATCAGACCTTTTGGCAGGCTACATGATCAACATGGCTGTTGCAAACTCTGCCTGCAACCTCTTAGGACATACAGCAGTCAACTTTGTCTCGTCATTCTTCCACAGTGGTGTAAGGTTTGCTGGGATTGTAGGCCCTGTGTGTTCAGACTCGGAAGATTATGTATCACGTGTCACAAGCCAGGAAAGTGTCTCTATTCTCAACTTTCATACTGCCACTTCTCCAAAGTTTACAGATCGCAGTACATATAGATATTCGTTTGGCACAGTCGGTTCATCTTATTCAACTGTTTTTTTAGCCTTGCATCTAATGAAGGAGAATAATTGGGAATCGGTAGCCGTTCTCTATGAAGAAAATAAATTTGTGTTTCTCACTGCCTATAACCTGCTTGTTCAAGAACTGCCTCGAGTGTTTCCACAAGGCAGAATTGCCTTTTCAGCTCCAGTATCAGGTGTTAGCTTTCCCCTTTCAACAATTATTGATAAACACCTCAGGGTTATAGTAGTGCTAAGTACATGGACTGTGGTTCATAAAATGATGTGTCTCATTAGGAGGCGTTACCACCAACTTACTTTTCCAACATACCAATTTGTGCTTGCTGGAGTTCGATACTCTTACTTTAATCACCCTACAAGTTTTACACTGAACCATCGCCACTATGTGTGTTCTGTTGAAGACATTACTCAAGTCATGAAGGGATTTCTGTTGACACATCTACAACTTGCTGGGGATGGCGTCACTGAGATGGTCTCCGGTGGAACATATGCCGAGTATTTTCGAAAGTACCAGGCAAGGGTGAATGGCTCAACCACAGAATGGGCCAACCCAGTCTATGATGCAGTGTGGTCTCTTGCACTTGCTCTCAATAGTTCAATACCGAGACTTAATGAGATAGGTGTGGACTTGAGTAACTACACCTATGGTCAGAAAAAAGCAACTGACATCATCCTCAAGGAGGTAGTGAAACTAAGTTTTGAGGGAGCATCAGGACATGTATCCTTCCATAAGAAAAATGGGTACACCAGTGCAACAGTTTCACTTGAGCAGGTGGTGAACAACGCCAGTGTTGTTATTGGCTACTATGATGAGGACAAAAAGCAGCTGCTGATTGTGGGAGATAGTGAATTTGTAGAGAGCTTTTTTAAATCACATAAATTGGTTGTACATCCTGCCCTGGCAAGTATCTTTGTACTCATTACTGCTATAGCACTGTCCCTAATTATCTGTGTACACACCCTGACTCTTGTGTACCGCAGCTTTCCTGCCGTTAGAGCATCCAGTTATCGTCTGGGACAGCTGGCCTTTGTTGGGTGTTACATCCTTATAGTGTCCTACCTGTGTTTTACTGTTCAAAAGGTGGCACCTACTACGTCAGTAAGTATGGCCTCACTCTGTGCTGTTCAAGCCTGGTGTCTCCCTCTTGGTCTTACACTTATACTTGGAACTTTGACTGCCAAAACTTGGAGACTCTATCATATTTTTGTTCAGTTAAAAAAACCAGGTATATTCCTACAGGATACAGCGCTGGGCATAAAGGTTCTTGCACTAGCAGCTGTAGATGTTATTGTGTGTTCAGTTTGGACAGGGATGTTCGAATTTACCACCTCAGACCTGGAGAGAATTACTCATGACAATGTTATCGAGGTGAAGGTACAGTGTTATTCTGAGAGCTACTATGCTTGGTTTGGAGCACTGAGCCTCTATCAAGGCTTGATTATGGTGTCGGCACTTGTGCTTGCTTTACTCACTAAAAATATTCATAGAGATATGTTTAAAACTAAGTCTGTCATATTACTGGTATATTTTCTAACAATCACACTTTTCCTTGGATTTCCGTTATACATGTCTTTGAATGTTGCACATGTTTCTAGTGTAAATTCAGAATATGCTGTACTTTCTTTGACATACCTTACTGTCGTTTTTCTCTGCCTAACATTTATGTTTTTTCCTCCCATCCTACTTCTTCTGAGGATGAAGCTTTTCCAAAAGTTACCTGGTCTTAGGAAATATTCTAAGAATGCGAGGGCTAAATCAAACTATCCCTCCCCATTCATATTGCAGGGAAAATATTAATTGTCTTGTAACGATGTTCATTGACTAATGATAGAATATTTAGTTTTGTATCAGCTGAAACTTAGTATTGTAGTTTAGTAAATGCTGTGTTATTATAATGTTCAAACCTTTTAGCTTGCATTTATCCCTCAGTATGCATGCGCAGGGAGGAGCTATAGTAGCTAGCTACATGGCTGTTAGTCAGTCAATTTAGTCTGACGTTCCAAAGTTCCCATAATCTGAGACATAGGCTTCATGTTGCAAGAGTGCAGAAATTTTGTTTTTAATGGAAAGGACGAGTCAGGAAGTTGTCCAATGATGAAGATGAGCCACATAGCCTATGGTGCACTCTGGTGGGTTAAAGGTCATACTGAAAGAAATCAAGGACAAGTTGGTCAGCAAACATGAAGAGAAAGCTTCCACTCAGTCTTGTTAGACATGTAGGTTTGCAACGGTGTCCCCATGATTGTAAGACAAGTAGTAGCGGTGTCTATTATTAATTCCCAATTTATTAGCCTGAGTTGTCTGTTCCACTCCAACTAGCTATATAGCTAACTCATACCCGCATAATCTAAAATTGGTGACATCCTCAAATTTAGAATTTTTCATGAGTTTTCTGTCTTTTGGTCATTTGCAACCGACTCAGGACACAAAACATGTGGCACAACCTTTAACAAACAAAAATGCAAATTTTGAAGAACGACGAATGGGGTGTGATGCCCATAAAAATAAAGGAAATACACCTCTTAGTATGTCTTAAATATGTCGGAATTTTAGCAACATCCGTTATGGAAAAAAAGTATTTCATCACTGTGCAGAAGTACATTTGTGCTTTCCCTTTTCATGTTTGTCATCACGTTTTCGTTTGTCCAATTTCATGCATCGTGGCCTTTCCCTGCTGTAATTCAATAAGGCAGCAAATAAATACTATAAAACATTACATCGACTGTGCTGATGCTGATCGCTCCTTTTTCTGAACATTCCTTGTTTTCCTGATAAAATATCTAGATAGACAGCTATTAGAGCATCGGTAGACACTCTATATAGGGATGGCACAGGTCAAATCTCACGTGATCTGCACACAAAATGCCAGGGTATAAACTGAAGAAACCCATGTCACTTTATTGAAAACCTTACTGCACATGCAAAAGTGCCAGAAGCTGCATGCTTCCTGCACATTCAGAAAAGTGCTGTGATGCTAGGTACCATGTCAATCTCTATATACTAAGTACTACCGTACTTAGTGATACTAGGTTTCTGTAGTTCAATCCCAAGCCACACCCCTTAGCGAACTATGTGGTTCCGATGAACCGCACGACCCCAAAATCAGCTCCAGTCACAAAGACACTCATCCCGGTCTCTGGGTGATGTTGGGGAGGGAGGAGAGGGAGAGGGTGGAGGAGGAGAGGGAGGGAGGAGGGTGGGGGAGTGAGGAAGAAGAGGGAGGGTTGGTGAGGGAGACTGCTTGGCTCGAGGTCCAGTTCTGAATGCATGCAAATGAAAATGTATGAAAGAGAAAATTTACTGGTGCATGCGCACAATGTTAGGGTGGGGCCGTCGTATTTCAGTTTCAGTCACAAAAATGGCTGAAGAGTTTCTCCGCGACTATCCAGGGCTGAGGCCCTTCGTTCTCTCCGACGTCCAGCTCACTGGAACCAGAATCGGCGGCGGAGCCTACGGCAAAGTGGAAGAAGTGGTCGTTCTGGTGGGCGCCGCAGCGAAAACGATTTACGCCGTCTTGCAAGGAGGGGATGCAACGACCGCCGAACTGCCTAAGGCCGCGACCGAGTTCGTGAGGGAATGTCAGCTTATGAGCACCCTCCGCCACCCGAACATCGTCCAGTTTCTGGGCGTCGCTTTCTTTCCCGACTCGCGACTACCAGCCCTCGTCATGGAGCGACTGCTGACGAGTCTTCACGACTTGCTGGCTCCGGACCCGCCCCCTCCGTCCGGCGCTGTCACGCCGCTATCTTTCTTCTCCATGGCCCTCAAGTGCTCCATACTGCACAACGTATCGTGTGGCCTAGCCTACCTCCACGAGCGATCGCCGCCCGTCATCCACCGCGACTTGTCGGCCAGAAACGTTCTCCTGGACTCGGAGATGGTGGCCAAGATAGCGGACTTGGGCGTGGCTCGTATCGTTCCTCGTGTGACAGCTGCAGCCACCATGACAAAGGGACCTGGGGCCTCAGTCTACATGCCTCCAGAGGCTTTTGCACCAACTCAATCGAATACCCAAAAGTCGAAATACGATGCCAGCATTGATGTATTCTCGCTTGGAGTTGTCACCATTTTCGCAATCGGTGAAGTCTTCCCTTGTGATCCTCTGGAGCACAACTATCTCAATGATGAAACTGGGTTGCTAGTAGCTCGCACTGAACTACAACGACGCGCTGAATACATGCGATATGTAAACGAGCAACTCCGTGCCTGTGGTCAGCTCCGTGGGGACCACCCTCTCATTCGGCTGATCCAGCATTGCCTGCACAACGGTCCTCACAAACGCCCGAGCATTCGTGAGGTGCTTCGTCTGTTGGAAGAGGCCAGAGCTGGTGTTGGAGATGAAGGGAGTGAGAGGAACAAACGTGAACTGGTACGAGCTCTTCAGACCCAGCCCAGGAACCAGGTGAGGGACTGTACACTCATTAGGTATGAGTTGATGTGTTGACAACATTCTACCAGAATTTGGAGCGTGTTCTCCGAGACCTGGTGATAGAGAATGCAGATCTCCAGTCCCGTGTGCAGGCTAAAGACATGGAGTTAGTTGCAGCACAGCAGCAATTGAGACGTAATGTGAGTCTAAATTATGATTAAGTGGCACAGTCAAGTGTTGTGTGTTTTTAACCCTCGGCGTGCATGCGCAGCGAGGGTTACGGTAGTTGGTTTGTGAATGTCTGTGTGTGTGTCGACGCTTATTCTGGCACTACAGGCTACGAGGCGGCCCATTAGCGATACCAGCGGATTCAGAACTACGGGAGCCTGAAAATTATTAGGCGATTTTCCTGAAACGACTTCGTTCGAGAGATATGCCGTGAAAACAAGCGAAAAAGCCAAATCGCACTGGCTTACCGCGACCTGATCCGCTCGCTCTGTGTACCTTGGGGGCTCAGGAAGTCACAACGAATGGCATGTATCGACTCCTGCATGCTATCTACTACTGTAGCTAGCCCGTGTCTGACTCTCCGCGGGCTACTAGCGGAAGACCACGAGTAAACGCATACAAATAGCCGGCCCAGCCCACCCATCAATTTGCAGTATCGCGCATACGCAGTTCGCCGAGGGTTTGCACTTTAATTTTAATTGCAGGAAGAACATTGGCAAGCAACTGAGAGGGAGAATCAGACACTCAGACAATAGCTGACAAGAAAAGTATGATTTGGATGACTGCCACTCTCTCTGATTTCTGCAGGAGACAGAGCTGACAGGAAATAAAGCAGAGCTGACGAGAAAGGAGGCAGAGATGACGAGGGCAGAGGAGACTATCAGGAGAGAGCAGCAGCAGATTCAGGAGATGAGACAGAGAGTTAGTCTAGTGTGTGGATTTGTGTGTTGTGACTAGAGGTCCTCCTGACTGCAGGAGACTGAGTTAGTGCAGGCCACAGATAGGGAGATAGCTCTGCTTCAGCATCAACTAGGGGAAAAGGTCAGTCATGAATGGTATACCCTCAATTCACTGACTATGAATATCAGTATAGCTCCAATTTTTCACTCACAATGTGGAGCAAAAATTGTTTCAAATTTCCCTCCTTTGTCATCGACAGTCTTTCTGGACTCAAAAGCAGCAAACTTTTGTGGCAGGCAGACTACTTTTTTATTTCTTACTTAGCGAGCTCGGTAATTTATTTTTGTCGATGCGTGGACTTCTAAATCTTCTGAAGTTTCTGGTCTCTAAATTGCATGCAATGACATACGTATGTTGCACAGACTCCCCTGGGGTTTGCGAATGTGCCGGTCAAGGTAAGTCCCATTGTCACACTCCTCCAGCCCCTTCCCTCCTCCCTTTACCACTGTCCCTGTCAACGTCTTCTCACTTGGCCTACCAGCGAGAAAGTAACACTCGTTTGCTATTAAAGCTGCACCGAATTTGAACGGTGTACGCATTGCATATCTCTAAAGAGGTTGGCCTCGTCCATGGAAGAGCCTTGGGGGTAATCCTTGTGTTCAACACTATAGCTCTGCACTGAACTGGTACGAGCTCTTTGGATCCAACCCCAGTTTGGTTTGAACTCAAATCAGCACTGAATTCATTTTGACTTCCAGTCTTGTACGTTGGTCGATCGGAGCATTGGGACACGTGACAACGATTGGAGATTCTTCAAACATAGTGTGTGTTAGGCAATGCTTGACTCGATTTTTCCCTTCATGTCAGAGTATGAAGTAGCGGTTTCTTTTCGCAGCTCTATTGCTATATCTATATATAGCCATGTTAGACATTGCCTTATAGTTTGCCAAACACAAGGTTTTCACTTGTTATTCACTCTTCACTCTCTGTCTGTCCCAGCAGTCTTACACATGTCAGGTCAATGGACCTGGTCTAACATCAGCCACAGTCAACCAACCAACACACGTCCTAGTCCAACTAACTGACTCTAGCGGTAGACCATACTCACTTCCACTGAATGTCACCGCACAACTTGAGCTCGTTTCAAAAGCCACACCCACAAATCAACCTGAAGCCACACCCACTAGTCCACCCGTAGTGACTGTCACCGACAAAACGATGCCCAGTAGTAGATGGCCGTGGTCTAAAAAACCTCCCTCCCAATACGAGGTGTCGTACACACCAGTCAGTCGAGGCCAACACAAACTCCACGTTGAAGTCAACGACAGAGAAATCAATGGCAGCCCCTTCACTGTGACCATGTACCCTGACCCCAGACAACTAGGCCACCCAGTGAGGACTGTAACTGGATTGAACCTTCCATATGGCATTGCCTTCAACAGTAATCAGGAGATGATTGTCAGTGAATGGGGTGGTCATAGATTGTCTATCTTTGACATCAGAGGACAGAAAATTCCAACATTAGGATCACGTGGTGACAGTCCAGATCAGATGATACACCCTGCAGGCATAGCAACTGATGATACGGACAATATTTATGTGAGCAGTTGGCACAAGCTGCAGAAGTTCACTAGCAGTGGTGAACTGATCAAATGTATTGGTCGGAGGGGCAGAAAGGAGGGGGAGTTTGATGATCCACGTGGAGTGACACTGTATGACAATCAAGTGTATGTGTGTGATTGCAATAACCGTCGCATTCAGGTGTTTGACCCGAACTTGAACTTTGTCCGATCCATTGGCTCACATGGCAAAGGAAGAGGTGAATTAGATGCACCACATGATGTCAAATTTGACACTGCCAGGAACATGTATGTAGCTGAGTGGGGTAATCGGAGAGTGCAAGTAATGGACACCAGTGGCCAATTCATACGAGTATTTGGTCAGGAAGGAGAGGGAAAACTGTGTGGACCATCAGGTCTTCATATTGCTGACAAGTATGTGTATGTGTCTGATTGGAGTGGTAATTGTATTGTAGTGTATGAGACCTCAGGTCAGTTTGTCACCTCATTTGGAAGGCCTGGTCCGAAAGAAGGAGAGTTTAGTAGACCATTCTGTATCACCTCTTGTGTTGATGGTTTTATACATGTATGTGACTATCGTAACGAAAGAGTTCAGATATTCTAGAACACCTGCACTGCTACTGCATCCTTATATACATTTTATCATAACGTTCGATCTCTAGACCCCACCCCCTTTTCCTACCACTTGTTGCTCTCCTTCACCTGACTTTACAGATTATAATTATTATAACAACGTTGTTCTATTATCCAATGTTCCATGTAACTGTAAGCATTGTAGTCTATGATGTAATAATTGTATGTATTTCATGGTTGGAAAGGTCCATTTTATTGTGCTGATGTTTTTTTGACAGTTGAAACACATATTCCTCATTTCGTTAATTAGCATGTTTTGTAACACGTATATAATATTGACTCATGCATTATACTATTCGTGTTAATTAGTCTTGTAGTCAGCACTCATATAATACTGTGTCTTTCATAAAGATTTCTCTCCTGTGGAACGATCTTGAAATATTACGGTAATCTGACAGTTTTTAAAATTCACACGTGGAGTTTGATACATTATGTGTGGTTGATATGTTATTTATGTGGGCCACCATGCACCACATAATACACCTGCACTATATTCGTTGGATGATAGTTGACAACATATATACATTACGTAATGATGACGTCATAAACAATGTTAAGAGTTGTTCTCAAGGCAGGAGGCTAGGGAGGATGTTGGAGCAGTTGATTCCTCGATGAGTGGCTTTTTCTGGTTTGACAAACAGTCCGTGAGAAGGCTTGCAGCAAAAGTAGCCATGTCCCTTCACCGACCCATCGTTCTTTCCATCTGCAGAGGAGAGGGAGTGAAAGAGTTGAAGGGGTTAATGAGCCAGGGGTTAAAATGTTTTGCACTGCAATGTTTTGGATGCCATGGGTATCTCCTTAAATAAGCAGAATTTCATGTATAAAGTATTAGCGCCTAACCCCCATATAAATTCTTATGGACTTAGAAGGCTCTGGACACATGGCTTTCAGTTTTTTGCACATAATTACTTACAATCACGTAGAACATTACGGTACGTGTATTGTCCATCACGTAATATATCCTTGCATTCAGACGACTAGATAGGCTTGCATTGTGCGTCAATAACTAGTAGTCAATCCCAAGCCACACCCCCTTAGCAAACTGGGTGGTTCCGATGAACCGCACGACCCCAAAATCACAAAGACACTCATCCCGGTCTCCAGAGTGACGTCGGGGAGGGGGAGGGGGAGAGGGAGATGGGTGGAGGAGGAGAGGGAGGGAGGGGAGTGGGGGGAGTGAGGAAGAAGATGGAGGGTTGGAGTGGGAGACTGTGCGAGGCTGCTTGGCTCGAGATCCAGTTATGAATGCATGCAAATGAGAAATGTATGCAAGGGAAGAAAGAGAAAAGAAAGCAGACTTTTAGTTTGAGCAATACATTAGCTATATGCTCCAGAACAAGTGGTTGGTAGAACGCTATGTTTTTACTGGTGGCCTTTTTTCATAGGTTCAACAGCCAATTTTGTTTTATGTGCTTGTTATAAAGTAGTTTTGTGAGCTTAAGTGAATATCAACTTCCTGTTTTGACCACGAGAGCAGGTGTGTATATACTGACTTTGTGGTATTGGAGGTGTTGAGTCTTCGTTTGTTGACGGGAGGCGAGGGATGAGGGGAGGGGGAGGAGAGGGAGGAGTGAGCTGGAAAGTCAGTGGAATCAGTAGTTGGGCCACTGTTGGTAGAGGACCACTGGAGGTTGCTGCTACTGCTGGAGGAGGGAGTCTGGAGAAGAAGTGAGAGAGAGAGCTGTGTGGGTTAAACGTGCTACGACACAGTTGCTGCACATTTTTTTACCAAATGTACGTATCTTCTCAGCTGGTCTTTTGACCTTAGGAGGGAGGTAGGAATACCCGTGGCCGGGTTTACAGATGAAGTATCTTACTCCGGAGTGAGACCCCGAGTTGGGGAAGTAAAGGGAAGTGTAATTATGTGTACTGCATGCTTGCTCAAAGTCTAGCAAACTAGAAAATGAAGGGAAACAACTCTATTATTCTGAAATTATCACTGATTGTACAATTTGCCCCCTTGCTTCCTTGCCCCCAAATATTTATATATATACCACTGATCGAATTTTAAAATTTGCTCCCTTGGTTCCCCACTCCATGAACACCCCACCCCGTCACAAACTCATCAAACTTGGGTTTGCAGGTGAAGAACCTGATTCCCTTCAGAGAGCCGTCGTTCTTCCCGGTGGCCTCATCAAGTTCAATCCCCGCCCACTCACCCCCCAGAGAGTCTGGCCTCCCTGGAAATCTATCGCACCTCCATCCCAGGCTGCAAGTACACAGGTAATGATGTACCAACATAATTATCAATAGGGCAAAGGGTGTTATTCATCCCAATTTTTTTCCGTTAGTATAATTATATATCTATCGTAGCCCCATACATCTATGATGACACGAGGTGAGTGTGTCTTCTTAATGCAGAGTGAAGCTGTCGTAGAGTGAGGACGGAGCCGGGGAAGAAGGAGGTCTGCCTTGTGGCGGGTGAGACTGAACGAGAGAGAGAGAGAGAGAGAGAGAGAGAGAGGGAATGACAGGTGTAGGAGCCGACTGGGCATCCGCAGCCAACAAGTCGTGAAGACTCGTCAGCAGTCGCTCCATGACGAGGGCTGGCAGTCGCGAGCCGGGAAAGAAAGCGACGCCTAGAAACTGGACGATGTTCGGATGGCGGAATGTGCTCATAAGCTGACATTCCCTAACGAACTCGACGGCGGCCTTAGGCGGTTCCGCAGCAGTCCCCTCGCCTTCTTGTAGGATGTTGTTTATGGTTTTGGCGGCAGCCCCTACTGGAACAATGAAAAGCACCCTCGGCGAACTGCGCATGCGCTGTACCGCTAATGGTTGGGCTGGCGCGTTTACTCGCGGTCTCGCTTGCGGATAGTCTGACACTGGCTAGCTACAGTAGTAGATAGCATGCGGTATGCGGTGTGATACACACCCTTCGCTGTGGCTTCTTGTGCCTCCAAGGTAAGCGGATCTGGTCCAGGTGAGCTAGCGTTGATCGCGTCTAATACACGCATGCGCACCGCTTATTGATGGCTTGGGGCACGCAACGCTGTCCGCGACTGTGTCAGTTTGTCGCTCTCGAACGCAGTCATTTCAGCAAAATCGCCATTGTGTAGCCCATGTACCGCTGAAGCTTTTGGTATCGCTCATAAGCCGCCTCGTAGCCTGTAGTGTGAGAATAGTCGTAGACAGACAGACAGACAGACACACAGACAGACACAGAGACACAAAACGACTACAGTAACCCTCGCTGCGCATGCGCGCCGAGGGTTAATAACTTCCTCGACTCTGCCGTAGGCTCCGCAGCCAATTCTTGAACCAGTGAGCTCCACATCTGGAACGGCCTCAACACGGGATTGTTTTGAAGAAACTGTTCCGCCATAGTACGTACAACGTCAAAATAGCTAGCCACGTCTTGCGGGTTGGAATTTTGCTAAAAGTCACACTGAATTAAAGAATCATCGACCATGCAGCGAACGCATGGAAGGGCCCCGGTCTACGTCGTCAGCAGATTCAAATTGACCAATCGTAAAACGTGGAATCCAAGTACGTGTTTTCCACGACGCCCGCTAAAAAATGGCATCTCCGCGCCGTTCGTACCACTAGGTTAGCTCGCTCCCGCTCGCCAATTATACTGACATATCAGTGAGAGACACAGTCTATGTGGGACTGATTACTGGCAGTGGAAGTATGTTCTTCTGCACAACACCAGCTAATGAAAACACTAAGCTATAATGCCGACTTAGCCCACATAATGGACGTCTAAAAGGTGGGCAGGTGTAAGTTTGATTTTGATTTCATCAATCTCCAACACTCCTGTTATCATTGATAGGGTCTTCAGCAGTGGGGATGGGAATGTAACAAACTTCTCCAGTGGTGTCTATTTTTGCGAGCTGAAATTTTAGAAACAATAAAATCCACCACTGTTTTCAATAGCACTCACTTGTATTTCCACCAAACTGAGTAGCATAAAAACAGTTGTCCAAAGGCCAGAATAAGGAGAAGGGTCATTGGAGTCAATCTCAGGAAAGTATTTTGTCATATTTTGGAACATGACAACGAATATCTCTACTGTACTGGCTGCTCTCTATGAACAACATGAAATTAATCCAGCTGAGGAATATGCACGGGGCACTGAGCTGCCACGCCCAACTTGGGAGGCACTCAAGCTGGATATTGCTCACAAAGACAATGGTTGCCACGTACAGTGAACCCTCCATGTAGTAGACGAAATTTAGGAAATATTAACAAACATGTTGAATGCTCTCTTTCACAACCCGAGCACTCTGAGTGAATAACTTTTTGGAGGTTTTAGGAGGACATAAACTTGTATCTGTCGCCCATTTCTGCCAAATGTAAGGCCATCGGCCCCTGATCTTTGCTCTTATCGTTAACAATGTCAGCATCAACTGCAAATGTTTGCCAACAAAGTTATAAACATTTTTCTGTAGAAACTAACCCTAATAGCTAACTTCACAATGTTTATGATTGACAGGGAATGCAGTTGTTTTAATCACCTAACACCTAACCAGTTTTTCAATTACAAAGTCAGACTGATGATGCGCCGCAAAGTGAAACACATTCCAGTTTCTGGAGTCATCTTTTATAAGTTGTCTTTTATCGCATTCATAATTATCATGCTCGGCTGTAGCACTGTCCGTTAGTGAATCCAAATTATCAGTAGGCCTTCAAAGTTGTTGCTGGTGACTGCCTGCCAAAATAAATCAACCTCAAAATGATAATATGTAACAACTTACTTCAAGTACCAATCGAACAGTGATGTACGTGCTGACTGCGTCGTCGCCAGCCTTGAGATGGAGTACATTTCCTCCAGGACTAGCTGGGTATTTCGCACCATCGATTGCCCGCCGATGCTCCGCTCATGGGGGCTTCAATATATGTGAGTAATGGTAGCTTGCCCCATTCTCTGTAGCCATAGGCTTTGACACGCATGCGCACTAAAGGACGAAAAATAATGGCTGAAGAGTTTCTCCGTGACCATCCAGGGCTGAAGCCCTTCGTTCTCTCCGACGTCCAGCTCACTGGCACCGAAATCGGCGGTGGGGCTTACGGCAAAGTGGAGGAGGTGGTCGTGGGCGCCGCCGCCAAAACAATCTACGCCTTCTTGCGGGAAGCCAAGGCCGCGACGGAGTTCGTGAGAGAATGTCAGCTTATGAGCACCCTCCGCCACCCGAACATCGTCCAGTTTCTGGGCGTTGCTTTCTTTCCCGGCTCGCGACTACCTGCCCTCGTCATGGAGCGACTGCTGACGAGTCTTCACGACTTGCTGGCTCCGGACCCGCCCCTTCCGTCCGGCGCCATCACACCGCTATCTTTCCTCTCCATGGCTCTCAAGTGCTCCGTACTGCACAACATAGCGTGTGGCCTGGCCTACCTCCATGAGCGGTCGCCGCCCGTCATCCACCGCGACTTGTCTGCCAGAAACGTTCTCCTGGACTCGGAGATGGTGGCCAAGATAGCGGACCTGGGTGTGGCTCGTATCATTACTCGTGTGAGAGCTGCAGCCACCATGACAAAGGGGCCTGGGGCCTTAGTCTACATGCCTCCAGAGGCTTTTGCACCAACTCGATCGAATACAGAAAAGTCGAAGTACGATGCCAGTATCGATGTCTTCTCTCTTGGAGTTGTCACCATTTTCACAATCGGTGAAGTCTTCCCCTGTGATCCTCTAGAGCACACCTACTTTGACGAAAAGAGTGGAGTGCTGTTAGGTCGCACTGAACTACAGCGACGCGCTGAATACATGCGATATGTAAACAAGCAACTCCGTGCCTGTGGCCAGCTCCGTGGGGACCACCCTCTCATTCGGCTGATCCAGCAATGCTTGCACAATCTCCCAGCTAAGAGGCCAGGTATTCGTGAGGTGCTGCATCTGTTGGAGGAGGCCAGAGCTGGTGTTAGAGATGAAGGGAGTGAGAGGAACAAACGTGAACTGGTACGAGCTCTTCAGACCCAGCCCAGGAACCAGGTGAGGGACTGTACACTCATTATCCCTCGGCGTGCATGCACAGCGAGGGTTACTGTAGTTGTCGTGTGTGTCATTCAGTCATTCATTCTGTCAGTTAAGTGAGAACTCACTTCTCCAGTCATAGATCGCGTCCAAAACGGGTTTACATACCTAGCGGGCGACGGACGTCAGAAAATATGTGGGATTTTCTCTGAAACTGCTTCGTTGCAGAGCTAGAGCGTTTTCCTGTTCGTACGGTACGGCAAAGGCGGCCATTTTAACAACGCGCATGTGCATATACACCATAACGCACGCGACTCCGAGGCGACAGGCGGCCAATTAAAGCGGCGCACGCTGATTGGGACCACGTGGCCAGCAGCCATTTCTCCCCCCTCATTTCTCTGTGAGACTAGACAGAGAAGACGGTTGAGTTCAGTAAGTATACCTCCAACTAAGGCGTTTGGCTCACTAGGTTAGGCTTGGGAGGTAAGAATAATCTTATCTATATATGAACCTAAAACAGCACCAGGAAGTACAACAATTCTACCAGACCTGCATTGCCCCACCCATTACTTTACATAATTGTGCGTGTGTGTTCACTATTATCACAGCGCTGAGGGTTTGCACTTCAGTGCCTTTCATTAGGTATGAGTTGATGTGTTGACAAAAACTCTTATTTGATTCTACCAGAATTTAGATCGTGTTCTCCGAGACCTGGTGACAGAGAATGCTCATCTCCTGTCACATGTGCAGGCAAAAGACACTGAGTTAGCTGCAGCACAGCAGCAATTGAGACGTAAAGTGAGCTTTAAAGATGATCTAGTGGCGCAGTCAAGTGTTGTTGTTTTATGATCGCAGGAAGAACATTTGCAAGCAACTGAGAGGGAGATGCAGGCACTCAGACAAGAGCTGACAAGAAAAGTGGGTATTCAGCCAGGATTTGGATGACTGCCACTCTTTTCTGATGTTTCTGCAGGAGACAGAGCTGACAGGAAAGGAAGCAGAGCTGAAAAGAAATAAAGCAGAGCTGACGAGAAAGGAGGCAGAGGTGACGAGGGCAGAGGAGACTATCAGGAGAGAGAAGCAGCAGAATCAGGAGATGAGACAGAGAGTTAGTTTTGTGTGTGGAGTTGTGTGTTGTGACTAGAGGTGCTCCCGACTGCAGGAGACTGAGTTAGTGCAAGCCAAGGACAGGGAGATAGCTCTGCTTCAGCAGCAACTAGGGGAAAAGGTCTGTCATGAATGGTATACCCTCAATTCACTGGCTATGAACATCAGTATATATAGCCACTCACCTGAATGTGTATGTGGTAACTATAAGAATGTGAGTAAAATTGTTGCAAATTGCCCTCCTTTGTCATCGACTCGACAGTCTTTCTGGACTCAAAAGCAACCAAAATAGCATTCATTTGTGGCAGGAAGACTACTTTTTAATTTCTTACTTAGTGAGCTCGGTAATTTATGGACTTTTAAATCTTCTGAAGTTTCTGGTGTCTAAATTGCATGCAATGACATACGCATTTTGCACAGACTCCCCCGTGGTTTTTGGAAGGTGCCGGTCAAGGTAAGTCCCATGGTCACACTCCTCCAGCCCCTTCTCTCCTCCCTTTACCACCTCCCGTCCCTTCACCACAGTCCCTGTCAACGTCTTCCCTGGGACTCTCACTTGGCCTACCAGCGAGAAAGTAACGCTCGTTTTCCATTAAAGCTACACTTAATGTATGTGACTCTATTAAGTACTGCCAAACCCTCATTGCCTAATGTGGTTGGTTTGGAGGTATCGTGCAAGGGTCATCCCAATTCAAGGGATTTTCCTTTTTTAGGCTCTATGCTCATCTTACCGTCGGCCCTCAAGACGCATGCTCAGTGTGCGGGCTTTACCTAACGCTGGCCCCCGTACTTTTTCCTCTTACATGTACATCTATCCTGGCACGCACCCCCTAACGGATGGGTGGAGCATGGGGCACCCAGCCAGCGTGGCTGATTCTCCGCCTACGGATGACCCTTACACAAAGGCCACATCCTTAGGTAGGATTGGCAAAGACGAATAGAATAGGGAAAAGAGAAAAGAGGAACAAAAGGAGACGAACAGGAAGGGTGGGGGGGGGAGATAGAGATGCTTGTTTGCTTGCTTGTGGTGCCACTTGCCTGGCTGCAGTGCCAGTGGCTTGCTGCTGCTTAGCCTGCTTCGTTGTCTCTCAGCTAGAGAGACTCAGCTAGAGAGACGCTGCTGTCTGGCCACGTGCTGCTGATTCTATTGCGCATGCCTAGTTGCTTTGGTACGCCCTCATTCAATGGGCTGCCACTACTACCCTTCACCAATGCCTAGTTGTCCCTACATTAACTCTGTCTAATTGTCATTAAACATCATTTAATGTATGTGACTCTATTAAGTATATACTGCCCAACCCTCATGGCCTAATGGGGTTGGTTTGGAGGTACCGTGCAAGGGTCATCCCAATTCAAGGGATTTTCCTTTTTTAGGCTCTATGCTCATCTTACCGGGGGGCCCTCAAGGCGCATGCTCAGTGGGCGGGCTTTACCTAACGCTGGCCCCCGTACTTATTCCTCTTACATGCACATCTATCCTTGCACGCACCCCCTAACGGATGGGTGGAGCATGGGGCACCCAGCCAGCATGACTGATTCTCCGTCCAAAAAAGCTGGATTCCAGCTTGCCCCATGATCACCCATTCTTGACCTCACCCCTCTATCTTACACCCCTTGTCTTGCACTGTGGTAGAAAAACAATGTATATGAACTAGGGGGATATGACAGAGCTTGTGCTTAGGTTAATGCTTAGGTTAGTGTGTGCGTACAAGAATTTGAGAGACAGAGGCCAGTTGGGACCGCGTGAGCTTTATGTAGACTTTGTACGCATCACTGCGCCATCTCCCCAGCATCTGTATCAGGGAGTCTTCTAGCCCTTGAGCTGCTGCCGTTGTGGCTGCCCCTATACGGAAACTATGGCCATTATACAGGGAGTTGTCAAGACCTGCCCTGCTCAGTGCCGCTTTGAGGTTTGAAACAAGATACGCCTGTGTAAGTGGGAGCCATGCATTTGTGATGAAAAGGGGGCCCGGGTCTGAGCTTCCTACTGCTGTATATCGGATGATGGCATCCACAGGGGTGGCGGTTTTTCCCAGATATACGTTCACCCCCTGCCTAAATGGATCGGTTTTGCTCTGTTTGATTCTCAATTGCACCATAGTCGGGTTACTGTGGTTGTCGAGGGCAAGGTCGCTCAGGTTGAGGTGGACAGATGGGTCATATGCCTCCGCAGAGGGGACCGTAAATTCTCTGGCTCGGAGAAAACCGAAGAATCCGGCGCACGCAGCCGCCCAGAGCATGATGCGGTCCGGGTTCTGGGGTTCTCTGAGCCATACTCTCTGCAGTGACTCCATGATGTCGATAGTAATCGGTAGTCTGGCCCGGGAGACCGACCCCGCTTGTGCCTCGGCACGTTTCGCTCCGGCTAGTACATTTTCCAAGTGAGGCATCTGGCCGTTTGCAAAGGGGTTGCCTAGAGCTTGCTTTATCTGCAGGTATATACCTAATTCCAGATAGGTATGCTTTCAAAGTGCGGTGCTGCAGGCCTTGTCCTGCCAGGAAGGCTATGTAGCTGCATAGCACTTCCTCTTTTAGGGGGTAGGGGTGAGGCACTCCATATATCCGGGAAAAGGCCGCATAGCGGCGCTGGGCCGAGGCGTATGATTTGCGGGTGGAAGCTGCAAGGCTGCCATCCAAGAGGCACTCAACAGCCACATCCAATTCGGCGAGTTCCAGTGGAGGCTCCTGTTGAAGACTATCTCCCTCAGCTCCGGGGGTATGATGGCCGGTACAGCTGACGCCTGTGGATTAAGGGAGAGGAACAGTGGGAGTTTGTTCCTGGACAGTGCATCTGCTGATTTGTTTTGAACCCCGGGGAGGTGGGTTGCCGATACGCGTATGTCTAACACCGCCGTGACAAAGGCTAAAGTCCGGAGCAAGTGAGCCAGAGTATGATCCCTGGCCTTCCCTCTGTTTACTGCTGCCACCACTGCGGTATTATCGCATAAGCAATGGATGCGTTTGCCGGCCCAGTAGGGGCCCCAGAGTGTTACCCAAACCACTATCGGGACTAGCTCTTTTGCCGCGATGGAGACTGATTCCCATGCCGGTGGCCACTGGAGTTGAAACCATAAATCCTCGTACGATGCGCCACAGCCCCAGAAAACCAGATGCGTCCGACACCATGACCAGTGGGATGTTCATTGGCGGAGTTATGCTAACTCCATTCCAGGTGTGCAGGAAGGTGGACCACCATGCCAGGTCCACTCTGGCACCCATGTCGAGGTGCACCCAGTGATCCAAGTCCCGCACTGCTGTGGAAGCATCTATGAGGCTCCGCAGGAAATCGTTGAGGTAGTGGAGTGCCCTTTCAACGCCTCTGTCGTGCAGGATCCACATCATGGCGTCTGTGAAGAGAAGAGCTTTGCCGAGAAGAGCTTTGGTGCAGAGCGAAGGCCGAACGCCTTGTCCAGGTATGTGTCCCCCTGCCATGACACCGCCAGTAACCGCTGATCGCACGGGTGGACCGGCACTGCTCTGTATGCCTCCTTGAGGTCGAGCTTTGCCATCAGACAGCCCTTCCCCATCGCTCTGACCATGTCCGCTGCCTGATCCACAGACGTGTAGGTCACCGAGCAGTAGTCTGAAGAGATGGCATCGTTAACACTGAAGCCTTGGGGCGATGACAGGTCAACAATTACATCCAAGACTCTGACGCTGCGTGGTCTATCTCGTGACTGTGCTTGCACGGGGTTGCAACTTTGGACCTCTGGCTGGCAATGTAGACTTGATGAAGCGAGGGGTCCAGGTAGTCCCATGGAGCAGCCAGGCCCTCCTGGTTACGCCGGAAGACCGAATCATACGCAAGCCATCCAGTGCCACTGAACTTGCTAGCCTCTCTGATAATTATTCGCATGTATGCCAGCATGTCGGTAACCCGTTCAGGGTGGGCCTGGGCCACTACGGCAGTATATGTTGCAAAAGAGGAGACCCAGGTCAGCAGGGCGCGGTCTCCTCCGATCTCCCGTTCTCCCAGCAATTTTCTGCAAAAGCTATGTTGTCTGGCAGTAGTTCCCTCATCTCAGCGAATTCCATGGCTTGGATCCGTTTGACCAACTTAGCCGGCACAGGGGTGAAACTCGATGAGAGTTTGAACGCGGAGGGTTTGGGGGTACCCGTATCTGTACCCTTGCTTCCTCCACTAATCGGGATCAGTCGCCTTCGGAAGAGAGAGAGGTCGTAGTTGTTGTGATCAGCCCAGACCTGCCTGCTACAGCCACCGAGGCAGGAATAAGTGGAATAGAAGGCAACGAGAGGGGTAGACTGCGTGGGGTCGTTGTCGACGAGCCTGTTAAGGATAAGCAGGAGCGCCAAGCACGCCGACAAGTCGCGCCTACTAGTCCCCGAACGCCTATGCGCGCAATCTCATACCACTGCACAAAACACACAAATGCCTGCTTACCTCCGGGCGCGGAGACCGTCGCCAGAGCTGCTGCCACGGCTACTGGTATCTCTCGGCGAATCAGCTCCAGCAGCGCTGCTTCAGACATCGGGGGTGGTTGGCGGTGGCGGGTCCCCATCGGGTGTCTTTGACGATTCACCCCACTCGGTCCATTGACGACGTTGCTCCAGATAGAGAGATAGAGATGCTTGCTTGCTTGCTTGCTTGCTTGCGGTGCCACTTGCCTGGCTGCAGTGCCAGTGGCTTGCTGCTGCTTAGCCTGCTTCGTTGTCTCTCAGCTAGAGAGACGCTGCTGTCTGGCCACGTGCTGCTGATTCTATTGTGCATGCCTAGTTGCTTTGGTACGCCCTCATTCAATGGGCTACCACTACTACCCTTCACCAATGCCTAGTTGTCCCTACATCATCGAATTTGAACGGTGTACGCATTGCATATCTCTAAACAGGTTGGCCACATCCATGGAAGAGCCTTGGGGGTAATCCTTGTGTTCAAACACTATTGCTCTGCACTTGAACTGGTACGAACTCTTTGGATCCAAACCAGTTTGGTTTTAACTCAAATCAGCACTGACTTGCAGTCTTGTACGTTGGTCGATCGGGGAATTGGGGCACGTGACAACGATTGGAGATTCTTCAATGATAGCGTGTGTTAGGCAATGCTGGACTCGATTTTTCCCTTCAAGTCCGAGTATTAGGTAGTTTTCTTTTCCCAGGTCTATTGTTATAACTCTATATAGCCATGTTAGACATTGCCTTATAGTTTGCCAAACACAAGGTTTTCACTTGTTATTCACTCTTCACTCTCTGTCTGTCCCAGCAGTCTTACACATGTCAGGTCAATGGACCTGGTCTAACATCAGCCACAGTCAACCAACCAACACACGTCCTAGTCCAACTAACTGACTCTAGCGGTAGACCATACTCACTTCCACTGAATGTCACCGCACAACTTGAGCTCGTTTCAAAAGCCACACCCACAAATCAACCTGAAGCCACACCCACTAGTCCACCCGTAGTGACTGTCACCGAAGAAACGATGCGCACTAGTAGATTGCCGTGGTCTAAAAAACCTCCCTCCCAATACGAGGTGTCGTACACACCAGTCAGTCGAGGCCAACACAAACTCCATGTTCATGTCAACAACAGGGAAATCAATGGCAGCCCCTTCACTCTGACCGTGTACCCTGACCCCAGACAACTAGGCCACCCAGTGAGGACTGTGACTGGCTTGGACCAACCATATGGCATGGTATTCAACAGTCATCAGGAGATGATTGTCACTGAACGTCGGGGTCATAGATTGTCTATCTTTGACATCAGAGGACAGGAAATTCGACATTTGGATCACATGGTGACAGTCCAGATCAGATGGAACACCCTACAGGCATAGCAACTGATGATACTGACAATATTTATGTGAGCAGTGAGCACAAGCTGCAGAAGTTCGCTAGCAGTGGTGAATTGATCAAATGTATTGGTCGGAGGGGCAGTAAGGAGGGGGAGTTTGATGTTCCACGTGGAGTAACACTGTATGACAATCAAGTGTATGTGTGTGATCGCAATAACCATCGCATTCAGGTGTTTGACCTCGACTTGAACTTTGTCCGATCCATTGGCTCACATGGCAAAGGAAGATGTGAGTTCAATGCACCAGTTGATGTCAAATTTGACACTGCCGGGAACATGTATGTAGCTGAGTTTAGTAATGGGAGAGTGCAATTAATGGACACCAGTGGCCAATTCATACGAGTATTTGGTCAGGAAGGAGAGGGAAAACTGTGTGGGCCATCAGGTCTTCATATTGCTTACAAGTATGTGTATGTGTCTGATTACAGTGGTGATTGTATTGTAGTGTATGAGACCTCAGGTCAGTTTGTCACCTCATTTGGAAGGCGTGGTCAGAAAGAGAGAGAGTTTCGTGGTCCATACTGTATCACCTCTTGTGTTGATGGTTTTATGCATGTATGTGACTTTGGTAACTGCAGAGTTCAGATATTCTAGAACACCCAATGCTACTGTAACCATACATTTTATCATAACAGTCGATCTCTAGACCACCCCCTTTTCCAACCACTTGTTACTCTCCTTAACACGTCTTCAGACACATTATTTAACAACAATGCCTTATTATCCCATGTTTCATGTAATTGTATCCACTATTGTCTCTGAAGCATAATAGGCGTCTAAAAATTGTGTGCTTCAGTGTTAAATAATAATATTGTACTTCATGTTTGTAACAATGTGTTAATGGTGCAGTTCTCTGTAGACTATTGTGCTGATGTGACAGTTGAATCACATAATAATTTTAATCATTTCGTTAATTAGCATGTTTTGTAGTCCGTCTCTTGTTATCATTTGTAATAACTCATGTATTATACTATTCGTGTTAATTAGTGTTGTAGTAAGCACTCATATAATACTGTCTTTCATAAAAAACATTTCTCTCCTGTGCAACTTGAAATATTGCAGTAATCTGACAGTTTTTTAAATTCACAAGTAGTTTTATACATAATGTGCGGTTGATATGCAAATGGGTTTTATTTGGGTATGATGGCAAGTATGCTCTATGAGCGGACAGCGGGAATAGAGCATACTTCCATCAACTATAGCACAATGGATAATTATGCCACCCTTTTTAGGAAAGGGGTGTGTAAGTGCTTGACAGTATAATTATACAGCACAGTAAATTTGTAGAGCAACTGCAATTCTGTATATAGCACCAGTATGGCTAATGGTGCTAAGTGGGTGTTACTACAAAGAAAAGCACTAAAGTGCAAACCCTCGGCGAACTGCGCATGCGCGGTAACGCTAATGATGGGGGCTGGGCTATTGGCGTTTACCCGCGGTCTCCAGCTAGTAGCTCGCGGAGAATCTGACACGGGCTAGCTACGTTAGTAGATGGCATGCAGGAGTCGATACACGCTTCGCTGTGGCTTCTTGTGCCTCCAAGGGAGAAAGGGGATCAGGTCGAGTTGTCGCCAAAGTCAAGTCAAAAGTTCATGAGATAGCCCTTCTTGGAGCACAAGTACACACAGCGAAATACAAATAAGATAAATAGGGTTAAAATAAGGAGCGAAATCTATATATGCTGATGACAGACTCTGTGGAAAATCCCGAAAGGTTCGTGACTCCTTCGTGTTTCTGTATATAGTACATGGTCAAGCAAGGCGGTAGCGCCATCGGATAGATCAGTGTCACATTGAGGGCAGGGTGTGGAATATACGCATGCGCACCGCTTATTGATGGGTTGGGCCACGCCACGCTGTCCGCGACCGTGCCAGTTTGTATCTATAGCCATTTTAATTTTCAGGCTCGCGTAGCACTGAAGCGTTTGGTATCGCTCTTAGGCCGCCTCGTAGCCTATAGTGCGAGAATAGTCGCGGACACCCCACACATAAACCAACTAAAGTGCAAACCCTCCGTGAACTGCGCTGCGCGTTATATATACCGCTAATAGATGGGCTGGGCTATGGCGTTCACTCGTGGTCTCCCGCTAGTAGCTTGCGGAGAGTCTGACACTGGCTATAGCTACAGTAGTAGATAGCATGCGGGAGTCGATACACACCCTTCGCTGTGGCTCCAAGGTACACAGAGCAAGTGGATCAGGGCGAGGTGAGCCAGCATACTGCGTCTAATACGCGCATGCGCACGCCTTATTGATGGGTTGGGCCACGCAACGCGGTCCGCGACCGTGTCAGTTTGTCGCTCTCGAACGCAGTCGTTTCAGCAAAATCAACAAACCGTACTATACCTCGCACAAGACTTCGCTCACTAAACATTTTTTGTCAGCTCGCAGCAAGCCCAGAGAGGTGGGGCCGGGTACCTAGTGCACGCGAGACTTCCGCGAGACTTCCGACGGCACTCTTACACACACACACTCATCAATGGCCCGCAATAGCCATAAATATCATTTGGAACAGCTACAAAAGCACTGCAGAGTTTGTACTCCAACTTCAATGCCAATTCAAAAGCCTACAGATATCCATGCTCCTCCATAAAACCAGAGCAGTGGGCAGCAGTTGGCATTGACCAGCACTCTGACACCCAGACATTCACCCACCAACAGTGTGCCTCAGTTGCAAGGAGAAAATGACAAGAATGGCTAATGGTGTAACAACACATCTTAGTGAAGCCTACAACTGGCGGGCACATGACGACAATGGCTGCGGCACATGCGTCATGTTTCGGAGCCAATCGGTAGGAGGTCGGCCAAATAAGAACATGGGTAGGCCAAGGAAATCCACACAAGGGTTGACCAGACTCAAGAAGTCCACGACGCCATCCTGGGATGCTCTCCAACCAGCTCTCTTTCTCTCTCCGCCTAGTAGAGTAAGCCACCGATAATCGGACGGCATGTATTCTCGGACGCATTTGTGAAGTCTGTGCAGGACTAGATTGGCTACTGTGTATACAAAAGTGTAGTTCTTGGTCATAAACTGTTGTATAAAAATATTCGCTCTTATCCGAGCTTTACCGTGGGAATGACGTTGCCGTAAAGTTACGATTCGGGCACAGCCAAGTTCGGACAAGGCCATCAAAGGTAGGACAGTCTCCCAAAACGGGAACAGTATGAATGATCCAAGCGAGTGTATGCTCGATTGATAGCTGTACCTTTTGGCTATGCAGCGACCCACAAATGGCCCTTTTTTGTCTTCGCTATTTTTGCTCACGAAAGCGCAAATAGGCGGGGTCGCGTAAGCCGCGTTTTACGCGAAAAGCAGTTTTCGGCATGATTCTTCTAACACACGCGCCGGATGAAGCTATAAAATTTTCTCCTCGTTCTTCTTGCCTTATATTAGATGCCTGCACCACGATTTCCGTTTTTGTGAGATCTAACTTTTTATTGGTAATTACAAAAAATTTAAATCTTACAACAACGGAAATCGTGGTGCAGGCATCTAATATAAGGCAAGAAGAACGAGGAGAAAATTTTATAGCTTCATCCGGCGCGTGTGTTAGAAGAAATAAGCCGAAAACTGCTTTTCGCGTAAAACGCGGCTTACGCGACCCCGCCTATTTGCGCTTTCGTGAGCAAAAATAGCGAAGACAAAAAAGGGCCATTTGTGGGTCGCTGCATAGCCAAAAGGTACAGCTATCAATCTAGCATACACTCGCTTGGATCTTTCATACTGTTCCCGTTTTGGGAGACTGTCCTACCTTTGATGGCCTTGTCCGAACTTGGCTGTGCCCGAATCGTAACTTTACGGCAACGTCATTCCCACGGTAAAGCTCGGATAAGAACGAATATTTTTATACAACAGTTTATGACCAAGAACTACACTTTGGTATACACAGTAGCCAATCTAGTCCTGCACAGACTTCACAAATGCGTCCGAGAATACATGCCGTCCGATTATCGGTGGCTTACTCTACACGTCTCCAGCTAGAGGACCTGTAGTGCTGCATGTGTCACTGCATTGTCGACAGGCCAGTAAAGACAGGTTGCAGAAAATTGGCATGCAGTTTTAACTGCATCGTTGACAAGCAAGTTCAGTTGCCTTCATTGCAGCACTCACGATGCACAGATGGACTCCCATCTATCACCAGTATCAGACGTCATCCTGAAGGTTGTGGGCGCACTCTCTCGCTGTCCAGCCTGCAGTGGAATCGTTCAGTTACACGAGCTGAAGAATCACAGTGAGAGTAACTGTGCTTCCTATACTGTCCAACCACCATCGGTCCAGCTGGACGACGGAGAACAACAATTGCTTCCAATCCACAGACGCGCGTGGTCCCACCACCCATACCGCTCGGCAAAAAAAAGTTTAGAAGGCAAAAACACGACCAAACTCTTCTACAGGGCCTACACAATACTATTAGCCGCTCTGTTAGGCGTTAAAAACTGTGTGACAGACGCTGCCACTTACTTCTTTCTCCTGTTTCACCCCTGCCGCTCTCGCCAAACCATCCCTTCGACCGGGAAGGAAGACGCACCGTCCGCAAGAGCTACAAACAAGCTCCCTCGTGGCGGAGGTTAAAAGTTCACAATATCAATTAGCTAGCCGTTTCCCCGGGGCAAAAAGAACTGGTCCGTTGCCACGCACGTGTTGTTAAGGATTACGTAATTTTAATGTGACGCAGATAAATGAGCACGCGCGTGTAGGACGCGGAACAGCCGTGTCGTAGACACACAGACAGTAACCCTCGCTGCGCATGCGCGTCGAGGGTTAATTATTGCTGAGCGCGTTAGCGTGATGCAACTACTCCGGGTTGTATTCGCGTACGTACGTACGTGCGTACGTCGTCAATTAGTCACGCTTAGGAATGTCAATTAGTCACCAAAAGGAAGTGTAACTTCCGTCATTCGTAGGAAAGTCTTAATGCTTCCGCGCGTGCGCGCAGATTCGTAGGAAGTCTGGCTTCGCGCGCAGTCAGTAGAGCGCGCGTGCCGCACGAGCGGGCCCATTGCGAGGAAAATATTTTCGCTTCGCATTCCTAGTGTATGTATATATACCTCATAATGTGTGTGGTAACTTGTACCAAGTGGGCATGCACTGCATCACCTGCACTATATTCGTCAGACGAGAGTTGACAACAAACATTACATAATGAAGCGGGCACAACTGGATAACAAGCAATTGCTTACCTTTGTTGCAATGTATGTATGTAAGCAAAGTCATGTGTGAAAATATCAAGGGTAGAACACAGCAGGTTTTCCCTGCCAGAAAGGTGTTTAGACAAGGTTGCAACTTGAACCCACTGTTGTTTTAACTTGTTAACCCTCGGCGCGCATGCGCAGCGAGGGGTTGCAGTTGTTGTTTCGTAGTGTGTCTGTCTGTCTGTCCGTCTGTCCGTCTGTCCGGTCTGTCTGTTACCCAACTTTTTCTGCCACCGCGCGCACGAAATCAGGTAAATAGCGATGTGATCGGGTTCAGTACTATACTGGGTTACTGCGTTCTAAAGTTATGGCGTGAAAACCAAGTGACAAGCCAATTGGTAATAGCACAGGATTACCTCGACCGCTTCCGCTCGCTCTGAAGGCACAAGAAGTCACAACGAAGGGTATGTATCGACTTCCGCATGCAATCTACTACTGTAGCTAGCCGTGCCAGACTCTCCGCGAGCCTACTAGCGGGATAAACGAGTAAAGAAAGAAAAGCCCAGCCCACAATTAGCGGTACCGCGCATTGCGCAGTTAGCCGAGGGTTTGCACTTTAGGCTTTCATTCACTAGGGACCTAGAGCTGGAACTGGGAATAAACAATGCTGGGCTGAGATGTTTAACACCCGTTGGACCTACTCATGTATGCAGATGACATTATATTGCTATGCCAAAGTGCAACAGGCCTTCAAAACATCTTAAGTTCTACAGTAATTTTGCCAGAAATGGAAAATGGAGGTAATACAGAAAAAACAAGATATGTATATTTGGAAGAAGCAGGTATCAGGGGCCATTTCTTGGAAAGACTTTCATCTTGAAACAGTACAGACATA